TGTTTGGTTATATTTATGTTTGTTTTGAGTACATGTAATTAATAATCTTAAATTAATATATTAATTAATTAATAATTGATAATTCTTTAGCAAATAAAAATTAGTATATTAATAATATAATAATAATGGATAAATTATCATTAATGAGTACATTAGTAATTAAACTATACATATAATAAATTAATATAGTAAATAATTAAAAATAGTAATTAGTAATTAATTATAAGTTAGTAATGTACTCATATTTATTAGATTATAAGTAATTAATTAGTGTATTAAGAAAAATAATTAGTATATACATAATTTATTAATATTCCATTTACTACTTAAATTATTAATTTTTAGTTACATAATTAAATAATTAGTTAATTAATTAGTAATGTTTATTTAATAATCTATTATTTGATATATCAGATGATCAATTTTTGGTAATTATTCTTTTTATAATGATTAGTTACTAATTATCAATTATTAATTATTAGATTAGTATATTACATATTGATAATTATAATTTAATATTAATTATTAATTGAGTAATTAAATTTTATTTTTTATTTACCAACTATTTAATAATTAATAGATTATAATTAACATAATATATGATTGATATATTAATTATTTATTATTTATTAATTACTAAGTATATCTATTTATTAATTATTAATTAATATATAATATAATTAATTATTAATTATTTAATATAATATTGTTGATAAGTACTAGAAAATAAAAATAGAAAAGGAAAAACAACTTTCAATCGTTTTCTACTTTCTTCACAAAATTTTTATTAAACAAACGCTATTTGTAGACCTTTCAAAAACAATTAAAATACAATTCCAAACGTACCATTAATTCATCCAAGAGTTCTTTTACGTGTTATACTATTAAAAATATACCGCGGGTAAGACTTAAGAGTTATATTGCAGTCCAAAAAAGTTGAAAGTTGGCTTCTAAAAATAGTTAAAAAGAGTTGATTCATTATCTGTTTGTTTTGCCTCATTTTCCTTGAGTGCCTTAATGTCATGCCCTCCCCTTTCATCGAGTATTTTTTACAATCCCTCTACGTATGGCAACACTTCGAATGATGACACAACAAACTTTATCGAATACTGTTACAATTTTTTTTTATAATTTAAATTTCTATTCAAATTTTTTTTTTAAATCAAGCAGGTTACTAATTAAATCACTAGTAGAAATTTAGAATTTAACGACTGTTAATAACCGTCGTCAAAAGATTAGACGACAATGAGAAAAACTCTCTCCAAATAACTCTCATGCGATATAAATTCTTCCTTAAACCAATCACGGCCCGCTATGTTTTTAAGAATCAACATATAATCAACATATATAGATTTAATTTCATTCTTAATCCTAAACTAAATAACTTAAAACTAACCTAATGAATTAACCTAACCTAATCAATATATATAAAAAATTTACTAAATAACTTAAATTTTGATTTAGTTTCATTCTTAATCCTAACCTAACTTACTTAAAACTTCTTAAATCATATACAACAAATAATCACATTTACATTCAAATAGTCAAATAATATTAGAAACGCAATTAATTAGTTCTAATCCTAACAGTCATATAATATTTATAAAAAAAAAAAAAAGCGTCGTCTAATAGTCTAACATAATTGAAAATAACTGTCGTCTAATCTATAGTTATACATTTCAAATTCAAAAAATATTATAACTTAAACTAATCAAAATGAAGACAGAGGCGGTTGTTGGCGGTTCGGCGACGACGGTGGCGGTTGCTGGCAAACGCTTAGCAGTTTGGTGAACACCAGGGCGGCTTGGAGAGTACGACAGAGTAAGAATTGGAGCAAGTGTCGGAGAGAAAGAATGGCGGTGGCAGCATCAAGAGAGACGGAATGAGAGACAGAGAAAGAGAATGGCGGTGGCGGCGTTGAGAGAGACGGAGAGAGAGAGAGAGAGAGAGAGAGAGATTTAGGCTGTGGGTGGCAGCGATATGGTTCACAGGAAGAGAGAGATTGGTAAAGATTTTGAGTTGGATTTCTCTCAAAATGAAGACAGATTGAGGTTAAATTTCATTTTTGAGTTTATGCTCTCACATTAGACGACAGTTTTCTAAAAAACATCGTCTAATATTTGCCAGTTGGCCCGCGTTTTGGGCCAGGACATTAGACGACGGTTTCTTATAAAACCGTGGTCTAATTAGAGATGTTAAATATCAATTGTTTTTTTGTAGTGAATAGCCTTATACAAGCAACAAATAAAATGCTAGAATAAAATTAAAAAGGTAAAATAAAGATGTAAAGAATGAGAAAGTGCTCTAAACTACTTATAATGGAGTTGTATTGAACAACCTTTAGTGAGAGTCAAAATTAAAGATGAAGACGAGTGCGTGAAACGAACGGCTCAAATTGATTCATGTGTTAGCATCGATATTCTCTCTCTTATTTTCTATAGTGCCCCGGTGTTAGCTTGTTTTGTGCTTTTGGTTTTTCTTAACCCATCCTTTTCCATTTAAAAAATAAAAATAAAAATCCAGAAAGATTCAGTGCTAACAAAAAAGATTCCAAAAAGATTTTCCTCGCATTTGCTTATCTTACAAAAATGACGTCTTGTTATTGTAACCTCACGTTCCGCCAACACTTAGTGTTCGTTTGGTTCGTGTATTCAGAATAATGATTCAGAATTATTCTCGTTTTACGTGTATTTTTTGTGAGAGAAAACACTGTAAAGAATCATGAATCATGATTCAGAATCAAAGATGAATACAGAAAACAAACGGGCTCTTAATCATGACACCTCTATTCCCTGCCCCATGTGGAATAACTACTACTAGGCTGCTACCGTATCTTGAAGTTGGAAACCTGGTAATGAAACTCGAAACACGTGATGTTTAAAGTGTTAATTTGCCCTTTCTCCTCCGTGAGATTGATTGTCTACGGTTTCAACCGCAAATTGCCTCTAAAATATGACAAGCCTTACTAGTTACTATATATTTCTACACTCAGTGAAAAAAAATAATAATAATAATTAAGGGACTGTTTTAAAAGTATACTCAAACTTATAATTTTTTATTCTGACATTTAAATTTTAAATTTTATATAAAAACTTTACATTATAATAAAATTAATGATTTAAGTTTAAGTATATAAAATAAACGACCCTTAAAAATAAGAGCGTATTTTGTTAGAAAGGGAGAAAAATGAGATTTTAGATAGATATTTTCTAACACCTTTTCTTTATTTATAATTAAATGACCACCTTTAATTGCACCTTTTAGAGATAAGTATCACCCAATCAAAAAGGTTCTAAACTTTATGAAAATGTAACATTTAAAATAACATTATTTCTAAAAGATGATAACCTTTCAAAAAAAAATCAAAATAAATTAAATTTTATTTATTTATTTTTAAATTTGAATTTTACAATTAAAAAATTAAAAAATTAAAAAATAAATATTATTATCCTCTCTACGCGCCATGTGTCATGTTTGCATAAGCACTAAGTGTAGATGCATGCAAGCCACAAGAGACTCTCTTATTGTCACTTCATCAACCCATTAATTGGTGTGGTCGCAAAAGGCGTTATTCGATAATGTCTATCTAGCAACCCCTGCTAACCCAAGGGAGCATTCAAATATTTGTCCTACGTTCATTCGTGAAGGTACTCTTAATGGGTTAAAGACCATATCAACAAGTCTTCTATCTTGTAAATAAGGCATATCTTGTCTAGGTAAAATTTTTAAAATGATACATTTATTTCCATGCCTTCTAGCTACTGTATCGCCCCTTTAATTTTATGTTTTTGTGAAATATATATACGAATAATACTTGTTGGGTATTTTGATTTGACACTGCTTAACACCTTATATAGTGCTACTCCACTTCATAAGTTTCTAATGTGAAACTTTGGTTGTCAAGTTACAGCCTTCTTATATTTAAACTTGAACAATTCCAAGCCTTTTTTTATTTAAACTTGAACAATTCCAACACTTAGTCATATATTATTTTTGAGTTAGTTTAGAAAATGGTTGATTTTTTTCATACATGAATTTTAATCCAATTTCTTCTCTTTATTTCTTTTCCCTCCAAATCCAACATAGTGGTAGGTTGATTTATTGAATTAAACTTCCAAACTTGTTGTAAAATTGGTCCCAAAAAAAAGTTTCAAAGAAAAAAAATAAAAGGGTAACAAAATTAACTCAAAATTCTCTACGCACCCTTTTTCTAAAGCATAAAAACTATTTCTACCTCACCTCCTAACATCTCAAACTTTTTAAATGAATTGATAAATTAATATGGTATCAAAAAAAGCCAAACTTTTTAGATGAATTAATAAACTAATATGGTATCAAAAAAGACCTTGAGTTTAAACTCTTAAGTTAAGCCTATATGTTTCAGGTTTCTTCTTCTGTCAAGCTTTTTATATAATATTCACCAACATTTTTTGTGCTTTGTCGGCCCACATATATATTGGAATGTTAAAATATATAACTATTTTTTATCTATCTTCTAACAGCTGACGTTTTTGTAATTGATTGGTGGACTACATTATTTCTCAGGGTGGCGACTCCATGTTGTTCTTCAAAGTAGCTGGATATCTTTACCTGAAATCTTTTGTTTGTGGCTTAATTGATTATTTTTTACTTTAGCCTATATCATTGAGTCTCAATAACTTGGTTAAACACTTATGTTTTATTTTAGTTTAAAAAGAACATAAAGATGTTGCGCACGATAGAAAAACATCTGAAAACTTTTGAGAATGATTCATTCTTATGATTCTCCTTTGCGGCGAATCTTGTCATTAATTTTAACGAGAAATTGCGGCAGATGATCCTTTTTAAAGTCTACTAGTCTTTTAAGTAGATGTCCAAGTTATGTGGTCAAACAGATCCTTAATCCGCCCGTTATGCCCATCTTGGCGTCCTTTGTTTTTGTTTTTGGTTTTTTTTTTTTTTTTTTTTTTTTTTTTTTTTGGACACCAGTCATTAGGTAAATGCTAATTAAAAGACAGCAATTTTCACAATAACATAGGTATGCACAAACAAGATAACGGAACTACAGATAAATCTATGAACATAAACGATATTCTTAACAATGGTGAAAAAAAAAATGCATGAAATGGACCATTTAAGTTTAATAGCAACATTGGACAAAAGATATGGAGCAAAATTACTCATGTGACAAGATGAATCTATTCATGCTTTTTTCCCTTGAGCTTTCCTTTCGGGATCTTGCTGAGAACACTGGTGTCCAGCTTCTGGTAGTGATTGCGAAGTTGGTCGAGGACTTGGTATACAAAGTTGTCAATCTGATCATCATACTTCTCATACAGAACTGGTAATGTGTGGGCAGCAACAAAGCCTTGGAAAAAAAAATGGAACAAAAAAAATCTATGAGAGATAGGGAACGAATCAATTAAGCTACATTAGGTACCATGTAAGCGCTGGGAAGTTTTCCCAACATGTGGCCCAAGAAGAGAAAAAAAATTGCCAAAAAGAATCTCTTTGAACTAAACTATCTGTGCTTTGACTCATTATGTTTATGCAAAAAGTGTGCATGAAAAGAAATCAGATTTTAAATTTCTTGATATTAGTCTCGTTCATTTCGCTGATTCGAGTTTAGAATTCGAGTTTTGCTACAGTAAAAAGCTCTCACAAATAATCACATCTAACTTTTTTGCTACAGTAAAAGGCTCTCAGATAAAATCATATCTCAACTCGAATCAGTAGTTGTACTAAACTTTTTTTTTCTTTTTTCTTTTTTCCTCTTTCTGATGAGAACTATCTGAACTCGCTTAGCAAACTCAACTTCGAAACTGAAGCCCTGGCAGAACCTTATAATTTTTGGGAAGCATGAAATTCACAGTATAAACCAGGTAGTTTACGTATTTTATAAGTGTGTAGTAGCCATTAGTATTGCTCTGAATTAATACCCAAATCCTAAATCTAAATTACTCCGAGTTTTTGTTGGCAAATAAGGTCTTCAAGTAGTAGTGTCAATGGCACACAGACACACGCGAATGACGAAATTTACTTTAGATCATGCAACACAAGAAGAAAGATCTCTCACCAATGTACGCTACAGTAAGAAAATTGCACCAGCTTCCAAGCACTGCAGCAGCCCATAAGCCCGCTATAACCTGGAAAGATTTTAATGTTCTTTCAATCGTCAGGAGAATTGAAAATTTAATAAAGTTTTTGCTGGTATAAAACATGCAACAAACAGTCTTCCCCTCCATACTTATTATCAAACCAATTGCAAGCTAGACAGCACACATTCTTGACATGATTTGCAATCTTTAAAAACGTTAACATTTTCTTTGAGAGATCTAGATGCTTGAATCATAAACTAATTTTAATCTGTCTTTGAGTGATATATAAAAATATATAAAACAACTTGAACAAAATTAATACTTCAGAATTTTTCTTCCCACCAAAAAGCACTCTAGGACTTCTATCTTTGAATCCTTTTTAGGATAAACAATTTCTGATCTTCAAAATTCTCATGAATTGAGGCAATGAAAATAAATAAATAAACAATACAGTAATTCGGTACTTCTCAAACTTGCTATACATATGCAGAGTATCTTCCTCAACAGATAAAACACACCATTTATTACAATTTTCCATTCTCATTGCAAAACAAACTGCATAATTTCGTCATAGTTTGAGTATTTATGTTTCTTTAACAAACAACAAAACTTACTCCCAATTCGTAACCTCAATTAGTTGACAACTTTATTAAGACTGGTCAAATGAATAAAACAAAGAACTAAATGCACATAAAAAAATAAAAAAAATAAAAAAACACTATCAAGCCATGTGTACACATGCATAATTGAGTAGACCTAAATTCAAGCTTACCACAAGAAGCTGCTTCAGATTCCCTCCACATGAAATATTCTGAAGATAATCCAATTCTCTATTGATCTCACTACCAAAATAGAGGGCAATGTCGACAAATAAATCCTTTGGCAGTTTAAGACGCGGAACTGAAGAAGGCGACCTGCTTTTATGTAGAATAGTCATTATCACAAACAATTAATTGTGCTCAACTACACATCATTAATGAACAAGTGCAGAAGTAAAGTTTGGACTGGTTTACCCGTTGAGGACGCCTGCAGCATTTGACCAAATAAATTGAGCAAGCATACCAAGAACCAGAACGAAGCCCATGATAGTAAGAAAATTATAGTTGAGCCATTCAAAGATCACCCAGATAATGGTTGCACTGGTTAAGACACTAGCGGATATTTTCTTGTTCCTCCATAACAACAAATCAGCAGCTACATGATTCAGGAGGCAATAAGGGGGAAAAATGATGTTAGGGAGAGCAATATTAATTTTCATTGAAGAAAAAAGAAGAAGATATTCTTACATTTTCCACCGCCCAAAAGATGGTGAACAGGCTTCTGGCGTCCGAAAAGCCTATTAAACTGAGAAGAGACCGACTCCGACTTCTCTTCCCCAAAAAATGACACAGATTTCTGCTTTGTGGTACTTTCAGCAAGTGTTTCCACAAGGTTGTTCAGAAGATTCTCAGCTTTCTCAGACATTGTTCCTATGCTTCAATATCAAAAGAATTGAAAACAGTAAATTCTTATGAGGGAAGGATACTTGAATAACTAGTTGCATTTACTAAGCAGTAAATAACTACTATAAGAGGATGTCAAAACATATTTGAAGACAAACCAAAACGTAAACTAGTTGCACATGTTTTTTGTTCTTAACAGGAACCAACATTTTGTTAAGAAAACAGAACAATACGGAGCAAGTGAAAGACCAGTTCTCCTAAAAGAAGGAAAAAATATATATATATTAACCATCCTAAATTGTTCAAGGCACATGTAATAAACAGTTAGGTTTTTTCTAATACAGGTGAACTTTACTTCTTTTTAAATTTGAATTTCATTTCGTAACAAAAAAAAAAAGGATACAAAGAAGTTTGTGAATGCCAATAATGTTATTTCATCCCCTTCACTTGACTTCTGTCGCAAATTTAAGTGTAACTTACATATAAAAGTCGTACGGGTGAAAAACTAGACTTCAAAAGTGCTACTCAGCCTAATTTACACTAAACCTTTTGTGACAAAACATGCATTCCTTTTTTCCTAATCGCCTATTTGGCCAAAGCCCTTCCAACTTATTAGGGATATGTTGCACGAATAAACAAGTTTATACCATTATCATTGAAACTAGGAAGAAAGATCAAGAATCTAGAGGTGTTTCTAAAATATAGATCGACATAAGGAACATAAAAGCAAAATCATGGGAATGTATTCAACCTAACACCATCACCAAGAAGCCCTTGGGATTCATCTAGACCGTTTGCCAAAAGTGTAGATATATAAATAGATTAAGAAAATAATTATTCACCAAGAATACTGATTGGAAAACGCACAGTAATAAGTAATATCGCAAACCACTTAAACAACCAAATGGGACTGAAGGGTTAAAGGCCCCTGGTAAGTTGAAATACAAATCGGACTTGAAAAGGGAAAAAAAATCAAAATAGTTTCAAGCTTTAACTTTTTTGAATTTGATCAAACAAGAAGCAGAAAGTGAACTGCACATTTAGGCTGCTTAAAAAATAATTAAAAAACAACAAGTCTACGGCAAAAGGAAACACAAACTCCTAAATATTTCTTATCCAATGCAAAAGAGAGAGAGCTGCGAAATTCTATCGTTTCACTCGAATTTTGAGGCATAAATTCAAACATAACCGTCAAAAGTACTACAGAAGATAATGGTAAATCCTTAAAAGAACAGAACCCGAAACTCAAATGATTACAAGTAACCCAATAAAATAAAATAAATTCAATTCCAGTCCAAAACCCAGAAACAAATTTCACTATAGATAATCAATAAGAACTCTAAAAGAAGAATCTTCAACACTACACAAAGAAAAACCCAGAAACCAAAATCTCACGTATAAACTAAAACGAACAGCAAAAGATTACTCTTACAACTAAAAATAAAATAAAAACAGATCAGCCTAATCCCATTATTGCAATGAACAGAGCAACAAGTTGTCACGAACAATACTACAAAAACAAAAACAAAAAAAGAAACAGAAGAATAAAAGAGAAAACGAACGAACAGTAGAATATGTAGATAATGAAATCACGAAGCAGAGGCAAAAGGGTGTTGGGAAGATGAAATCTGGATAAAATGAAGGAAGACACGAGGATTATGATGATGGGTTTTATTAGCAAACCTGTGCAAAGTTTTTGTTGTTGGAAGCAAATGAAAAAGCACATGTAATGGGTAGACAAGTCGCAGAATCGTCTTGAACTGAATATAAATTGCGTGCGCTAACTTTAATTACTTCTTAATAGTTTATATAAATTAATAAATTAATTAAATTATTATTTTTATTCATAATTAATTTAATTATTAATCATAACTGAATAAGTTATTATTTATAATTATTTATAATTTATCTGATTATAAATTATAATTTAATAAATTTATTCATAATTTATCTGATTATAAATTATAATTTAATAAATTATGATCTATTAATTTTTATAATTAAAAATTAACTTATATATTTTCTTAAATTTTTTATATTGACAGATTTTCTTATTTTTTAATTGTCCAAAAAAAACTAATTACTTTTTGTTTATTTGTTTATTAATTATTTAATTGCAGAAAAGCAGGCACGAATTACTTGCATTAACTATTGAAAAAATCCTATTGGTCAGTGCTAAGCAGCCTATGGAGGCCCAGTGTCGCTTGTTTTTATTGTGGGACAAACAAGAGGAAAAAAGTTTTTTCTTTTTTTTTTTCTCTTTTTCAAAGAAAACTCAAAAATAACCTGCGGGACCTCATAACTGAGTTGAGATCACCCGCCCGTCCACTCGCTGACCTGAACAGAGAGAAAAGAGACTCCTGCTTTCGGTTTGCCTTTTCTTTTTTCGTACCTTTTTTTTTTTTTTTTTGTTGAGAATATGTTTTGCAAGGTACTAAATAAGAGAGGTTCTCTGATACCGTATGAAAAAATGAACTATTAAAATGATTGTGTGTTTATTCATAGATCTTATTAAAAATTATTAATTTTTTAAACTGATGTGATTTTTTTATTAAATCTAAAAGTTAAAAATTGACTTCATTAATAGAGAGATCCAATAAAAAAAAACTCCCTCTAAACAATAGATATCCTTTAAGAGAGAAAAATTATAGTATATATCCTATGAGTGTTGTTGTACACTAGTATATTTCTTCTATAAGCTCATGAATTAGATGTTGAGTTTCAGCTGGGATTCGTGCCACCCGCTAAGGAGGAGGGTTACCAGATGGAAGTTGAGGTTGATAGAATCATTGTCGGTCGCAAGGCATTTTCAGGCGTGTCGGACTTCATCTCTGCCTACTCTTTGGAGGTTTTGGTCTGCAAGATGACAGTAAACGTTTATTGGTCCACACACCACTAGTGGCAATGCACATTTGCCAACCGATCTTTTTTTTTTTTTGTAAGTGTTGAGGGGTTTCACTCTCTTTAGTGTTTTGAAATTCTGGCTTGTAAATTTTTTTATCTTTCGATAATGATGGTTTTTACCTCAATTAGTTTGTGTTTTGTCTTATTTATTTAGTGGTTTGTTGTATTTTTTGTCCGTTGGAATTTGTTTCTATGCGGTTTTTTATGTAGCCTTAATGCCATGCGTTTCACACATCAGTTGAGTAGAAAATCTATTTAAAAAGACATTAGTATACTTGATTTTTATGTACTTCTTTTATATTTTCTATTTGTAGAGCATAGTATATACTATTTTTTCTTGAACTTTATATTCAATCTCACATATTTTTTGTAGCCTTGGTACCATTGTTTCATGTGAATTGGTGTTTGTATTTCCTTTACATGGCTTAGAATATATTTTCCTTAAGAAAAAGAAAAAAAAAAAGAAAAAAAAAGAGAGAGCGAGAGGGAGAAACGTAAACTAGGGATAAGTGATCCTATCAGAAGCACTAGTGTCTTTTTTTTTGTCTTTGGAAAAATAATATAAAAAGAGAAAATAATTTATAGTAGGGCACCATAAAAGAAGTAAAGAACATGGCATGTTTGTGTAATTTATAACATCAAATCTTTATTGAGCTCCAATTAGAAAATAAATAAACAACATTTTTCAGTAAATAATATGTCCAAAATTATGTGAAGAAAATAGCAGCAATTAGCAAATTTATTAGGTAACTAACCTATTTGCTAGATGTTTTATGTTTACTGCAATTTATTGCAAATAATTTAAAATCTTGCTATTTAATCATTCTAGTTTCATAAACATACTTTTTACCACATTTTATGTCCAATATATTTGTGTATCGTTTCTCATCCTAATGTGATAATAATAATCAATATCGTGTAATAGCAATACAACTACACTAATACAGAAGTTTAAAAAGGATCTCTAACAAGTAGTGCGTGATTTTTATTTTTTATTTTTTGAAAGAGAGGGAGTGATAATTTGTCCATGATTTTGAACAGTAATTTTTATCAGATTTTGTAGAATTTGCATACTAATGTTTCTCTAATATGCACCCGCTGTGCTCTAATATTTTTTTAAAAAATATTCATTCTAACTAGGAATAAGTTAATACATTTACAAGAAAATTCAAAAATATTTCATGAGTTTTAACTAAATATTACGTTTACTCCTCAATTTTTAAAATCCAAAAGATATTTATTTTTTTAGGAATTTCTCCGGTGTTCCCTCCTTTTTAGAAACACTGATGTTCTTTACTTTTTTGGTCGTTAAATCTGATAAAAAACACACAAAATTAAAAAAATATACAGAATAGACGTCTAACGGCTAAAGAACAGAGAATACCGGCGTTCTAAAAAAAACACTGGAGAAAGTCCCATTTTTTTCCAAAAGACTTAAAAAAAACATGCACTGTCTAGTGAGATTGTTAAAATACTAAAAATATTCTCAATAATGTGCATTTTAAAAATATTATCATAAGCATTAATAAACTAAAAGATGTAATAAAATAAAATAATTTCCAAAATTCTAAGAAATTCAAAACTTAAAAATTAAATAAATATTATATATGATGAGAATATGGTACTATGGAAATGGGTCTTAAGACCTATGAGGTCCTTTTTTTATTATTTCTGGAAGACCCATGAGGCTTCTTCTTTTTTTTTTCTTTTTTTTTTTTTTTTTGTGGCTGAAAACCCATGAGGCTTTTTAGATGGTCGTTATGGCTGCTGGTCAAAGGTTGAACCGACACCTTCAATTGGAATGCTGGTCAAAGGTTGGGAATTTGGTTTTTTTTTTTTTTTGTTGATAATTTATATGTATACAAATGCATAAAAAATGATATATTGTTATATATACATTGTTAACGTCATCAATTGTATTTTTAGGACGAACAAGTGTGATATTTGACAAGTTTTTTTCTTTTATAATACATAAAATTATTTTAAATGTTAAATCTACTTTTATTATAATTATTAAACTGTCACATTGTAAAAATAAATTTTTAATTTTCAAAAAATTAAAACATATAAATGTTACAGTGATTAAATAAAAAGAAGTTTATCTATTAGTCCGTCTTATCGGTAGTCCCTGTTTTTTACGTTGGATCGATCAAAATCACATTAAATTAAAAAAGCATGCAGAACAGACAGATTCTAATACAAATCTTATAGCTAAAAAGTAATAGACTACCGGTAGTCCATTTTTACAAGGACTACATCAATTAATAATTATCTAATATTAAATTTGTCATCCACTATACTTAGTGGCAAATTTAGCACAAGTATAGTATGTGGTAAATTTAACACAATAAAATAACTCTTTATTAGAGAGTATTTTTGCACTAACGACATGCTTACCTACGCATAATCAGAATGGGCATGAATTAGAGTGGGCGGGATTCGGAGTGAGGAATCAGAATTAGAATAAGTTGTTTATTTGGTGACAGGATTCAAAATCGGATCGTCACTCTAAATCTCATTCATGCATTTACTTACACCTACAATCAGAATGAAATAGTGTAAAAGTACTGATATACCGTTTAAGTTAATTTTATATTTTTAATTTAAAAAATAAATTATGTTCTTATTATATTAAAATATTTAGTATAATAATAGGATAATAAAATAATAAATATAAATTTTACAATTATTTAAAATATAAAAATAAATTGTTAAAATTTAAATTAAACAAATAAAATAATAAATATAGGTTGTAATTATTATTTTTAAAATTTATTTTTAATTTTCTATTTATAAATAAAATAGAGGTATTATTGTAATTTAATGTTAATATTAAGAATGAGAGTCCCAATACCAAAAGAACATAAGAGTGTTAATCTTATTCTCCAATTTTAAATTTGAGTATGGCCATCAATCTCACTCCTATTTCAAGATAAAAAAGTAAACATGAGATTGACTCTCATTCTCCACTTTCATTCCTCAATCATAATAAGTAAACATCTCATAAAATGTTAAATTTACTATTTAAGCATCAATTATAATATTGCATTAGAAATGCTCTTAGGTATATGACCAAGTTTTGGCTGAAGAAATACATGATTTGTTACAAATTAAACTTCTTGTTGATACTTTTGTGAGGCTTGACTGAGTTTAGGCCTCGTTCGTTTCGCTGATTCGAGTTGAGATGTGATTTTATGTGAGAGCTTTTTACTGTAGCAAAAAAGTTAGATGTGACTGTTTGTGAGAGCTTTTTACTGTAACAAAACTCGAATTCTAAACTCGAATCAGCGAAATTTACAGGAACTTTATTGGGAAATCGATTGTAGATTTTCTCGGCTAAACAGAATTGATGACCCCTTAGAAAATGATCGATCAATATAATATAAATCCGCAATTATTCCAAGTTTCTCTAGCGCCACATGATTCATGTGAGATAGGTCCTTATAGACTTTAGTCTTATTTAAACTCCAATGAAATGTATTGTACATGTCAAAACAAATATCTTGAGCAACTTCCAGATATTCAGCCAAGAAGATAAGGATAAGTCTTTTTTTTTTTTGCTCTGAAAATAAGGATAAGTCTTTATATCAACATCATGGTCTCTCTATGATAGCAAATGTATCTATTTTGTTAGTTGACAATTTTGAATGGTTACAACCGCAAACTTTAGACGAGATAAAAATAAATCAAAACATTATATTATTCTATAAAACACTAAACTTTTGTAATGTATAGAAGGAGTATTTCCTTAATAATG